GTGAGTGTGTGTGAGTGTGTGTGTGTGTGTGTGTGAGTGAGAGAGAGTGTGTGTGTGTGTGTATGAGTGTGCTTGTGAGTGTGAGAGAGAGAGTGTGTGTGTGTGTGTGTATGAGTGTGCGTGTGTGTGTCTTCAGTTTTCCACTGATCTGAGAGCAGTGCGGCTCATTTGTCTCCAGTCTTTAGGACATGAGTGGAGCTGATATCAGATCAGTGCTGTGGGGAAAGTCCTGCTGGGATAACAGGAAGTGAGACATCCTCTTATTGTTTCAACACAGGATGTTTGTGTATATTCAGGGATTCAATTACCAAGGAAACCAAGGATAAAACAGGAGGAAAAGAGAAGCAGTGAGAGAGAGCTGGTGATGGTGAGATGTTGCAATCCAGAAAGCTGAGCTCCTCTGAGTCACTTTCAAACACCCCCAACTACCAGAACAATCACACACTTCAACCCAAACCCATGTGTGTTTACTGCTTTAACTGGACACGCTGCTCACCGCAGATTCACATGGTCACACTTCATTACTGTACAAACAGATGTTCTGATTAATGTCTTCAGACAGCACAATATCCAGAAATAAGCAAACAGTTCATATAAAGCGGCAAACTCTGCCATCAGTTACTCACGTCACACCAAACCTGCATGACTGTCTTTCCTCAGAACATTAACATAAACGTGAAACTCCATAAAGGGCAAAAAAACAACAACATACAGGTCTTAAGAATTGAGTGTCACGTGGCCGATGAATATTTGTGAGCATGAATGAGCCGCTGTGGAGGACAGGTCAGTCATGCCTGCAGTTTGAGTCTGTTATTTTTGTGTGTTCCAATGGTTTCACTCCCAAAAAATATCTATAAAATGTTTATGCAATGTAAAGCCACTCTGAATAAAAGCTACTCTGCAGCATAGACTATTCATTTTATATAGATTTTTATGTTAACTAGAAGAAAGAAAGCCATGTGGAGCAGCAACGCAGACAGAGACAGGTGAACTATGTATCCAGATCTTGTCTACACAACTCAAAAGAAAACAGAGTGGCTAAAGGACAGATGAGTGTAATAACACTGATTTATGACACTCGCTGAGTGTGTGATCATTTCCTGCTGTCAGACTCACACATGAACATAAACACACACACGTCACGTGATCTTTAAGAGTGTGTGAGAGACGTGTGCTGACCCGCTGGGATTACAGCTACTAAAACTGACAGTCCATC